CTAGGCTGCCGGTACACCCTCCGCCCTCCCCGCCCCACCCCCACTCCGGTAAAGAGCACACACACCTCCCCTACCCTCCTGGCCTCTGCTGACGCCACAAAGCCCGCTCCCCGAGGCCACGGCCTGCGACGATCTCCGTGGCGCAAACGCAGGTTTTCCAGCGCCCTGTTTGCGCCCGTGGTCAGGGGCGCCTGGCGGGGGAGGCGTGCACCCCTCTCTCCGGTTAGTACCAGCCTACCCAGGGGCGGGCGGGTGGTAACCCTGTGAGCGCGCCTGCCCGCTACACTGGGGTCCCAGCTTTGAAGGTTATCATCAGTTGGAACCAGACGGGTCACCTGGTTTAGCCCTAGTTACTCAGGAGCGTCCCAGGATCGAGGGCCACCGGCCCACCGTCACTGACCCAGAGTCCTTGGCTGGCTTCCCCTGAGCCTGAACCAGACCAGTGCGCACCAGACGGTCCTATGCCCATCTGGCTTCAGGTGGGTGGGTGGCAGCAGGAGAGACTGACCCCAAGGGCTCTGCAGAGAGAGGCAACTTCTACAAAGTGAACAGTGTCTGAGGAATCAGAGCCACCTGTCTGGGTGATGGCAGGGAAGGGAACAGGGTAGTTCTGTGGTTCAGAAATCACTTTCAGATCTATTCTGACTGGCCCCAGTGATCACCCTATGAGGTGCATGGAGAGGCTTCAGATCTGCACTGCATAAGGATGCGGGTATTCGAACACCAAAGTGTGTGCATGTGTGTGCATGTATGCTTGTGTACACGTGTGGTAGTGTGTGTATGTGTGCATGCATGAATCGTGTGTCTTCTGCACTGCACGTTGTTAAAGAAAACCAGAGCTGGATGGTAGAGCGTAAAACCATTTTATTCAGGACTTGCAGTAGGGGGACAGCATAGAACCCCACAGAAAGCTCAACTCTACAGGATGGGCCAGTGAGGATTTATGGCCAAGCACAGGGTGGGGCTGGTGATAGGAAATTACTAACAGGAAACATCTGGGTAGTGGGCTTCTGTCTAAACACACATATTGGGGTTCTTTTTTTCTTAAATATGTCTTTATTGATTTCAGAGAGAGGAAGGGAGAGGGAGAGAGAGAGATAGAAACATCAATGATGAGTCATTGATCGGCTGCCTCTTGCACGCCCCCGACTGAGCTCGAAACCTGGGCATGTGCCCTGACCGGGAATGGAACCCCAATTGCCTGGATCTTAGGTCAACGCTCAACTACTGAGCCATATCCAGCCAGGCGTGATTTTTCCTCTTAAAGTCCCCCTTTGTTGCATGGATGTCCTGTTAAAGAGAAACTGATTGTGACACTGGTTAAATCAGTAAGGGAAACTTTATTCAAGGCTATTGCAATAGGGAGGCAGAGGGGGTCATTTCGGAATGGAGTCCACACAGTGGGGAGGATGGCCAAGGGCAGGGTCAGGGGTTAGTGATGGAAAAACACAATGAAGACACACGGGAGGGATCTTGCCAAACTGGCTTATCGGGATTCCTGCACATTCATCATAGTTGGGGTGGGGGTGGGGTAGGATGGGAGATGCTGGACTAGATCAGTTATCTGGGGGGGCTCTAATCAGAATAAAATTGGGCGTGGCTGGGCGGAGACAGGCAGCTGGGCAGTTTAGGGGAACCTGGCTGGGATTTGATTGTAGAAAGGGTCTTTGTCAGCTTCCAAAGAGACACCTATGCCTCTTACTGATGGCAAGTCAGGAGCCCTAAGAGGACCCCATGTAAGCCCCATCTGTAAGAGGACACCTCAAGTGCTTGGAGCTCTGGGCAGAGGGTGTGGCAGGATGCTCTGTTTCTTCCCCAGAAGCCATGGATGCCGTGGAACTTTCCAGAAAGCTACAGGAGGAGGCAACATGCTCCATCTGCCTTGACTATTTCACTGACCCTGTGATGACTACCTGTGGCCACAACTTCTGCCGTGAGTGTATCCGGCTGACGTGGGAGAAGGCCAAAGGCAAGAAGAGCAGGAGGAAGCGCAAGGGTGTCTTCCCCTGCCCCGAGTGCCGGGAGCTGTCCCCCCAGAGGAACCTGCGGCCCAACCGCCTGCTGACCAAGGTGGCCGAGATGGCACGACAGCACCCAGGCTTCCAGAGCAGCGATCTGTGCCACGTGCACCAAGAGGTGCTTAAACTCTTCTGCGAAGACGACCAGAGCCCCATATGCGTGGTCTGCAGGGAGTCCCAGGAACACCGGCCTCACAGGGTGGTCCCAGTGGAGGAGGCTGTGCAGGAGCACAAGGTGGGCCCAGGAGCGAGGGGCAGTAGGGGTCAAGGAGGCCTGAGTGCATGTGTGTGTTGAGGGGTGTATCAGTCAGGCAGGAGAATGACTGCTGTAACAAACAGCCCCATATGCTGGACCCCACAGTGGAATAGTCTGCAACTCCCACAACAAAGCAGGCAGGTGGCCGGGTCAGCTGGGCATCCTCTCCACAGTTACTCAGGAGCCCAGGCTGACAAAGTGGCCTCAAAGCCATCTGTGTAGGAAGGCCAGGTGACCCTCTGCAGGGGAGGAAAGAGCCTTTTTCTTCCACCTTAAATTAGCCTGAGAAAGGCAAATCAAGGAGAGAAAGTCATACTGTTAACACATATGGCCTGCACACATCATAGGGAAGAAACCACAGCAACAAGTAACGGGTTGGTTTTAGAGTTCAGGTTTATCTGGCATCTGAACAGGAATAGTACATTTGGAGAGAAGAGACAAAGGGAAAGGTGACAGGCTCCCAAGGGTAGCAAACTGGGAAAGTATCTTGGTCCATTCCAGCTGCTATCACAGAACACAAGACTGGGCAGCTTATAAACAGCAAGAACTTCGTGCTCATGGTTCTGGAGGCAGTCGGGTGGGGGCTCCTTTCTGGTTCATAGATGGCCAACTTCTCACTGTCCTCACATGGAAGAAGGGGCTGGGAGCCCTCAGAGGTCTCATAAGGGTACTAACCCCATTCCTGAGGGCTCCACCTTTACGACCTCATCATCTCCCGAAGGCCTCACCTCCTATACCTCGGGGGTTAGGATTTAACATGTGAATTTTGGGGGACATGAACATCTAGATAACAGAAAGTAAATATTTGGGGAAACTAACCAAACATAAAGTTCATCAGTGTGGGTACCTCTTGGTATTCACTTTCCACCTCCTTCATGGCCATAAAACTTCCCTAAGAGGCAGATCCATGGCAACTCTCATTTCTCAAGTTTCTGCTTTTAGTCACATAACAGGAGCCTCAGAAGGTGTCTTTCTGCATCTGTTGATTCTCATTTGCCTCCAGCTCAAAATAATCATTCTGCCCAAGGGGCATATTATGGGATTTGTATTTCCATCCCCCTTAGGATGCAGCTTCAGAGGGTACCTCCTGATGTGGGTGTGCAGGGGGCCTCCAACTCCTATCCCACGGTCTGTTGTCTGTAGCTGAAGCTGGAGAGTGACATGGGGCACCTGCGGGAGGAGATGGCGAAGACCCAGAAGCTGCAGACCAGGGAGCAGCAGGCCTTGGCAGAGTGGCAGGCAGGTGCTGAGGCCTGGAAGAGTGGGCGGGAAGGCCTGGCCAGGCCCCAGGGCACCGCAGGGACTCCAGAACCTGTGGATCCTTGAGATGGAATGAGAGCACAAGACCCAAGAAAGGCACGGAATTCTTGCCAGAATCAGGACTGAGAATGTGTGCTAAGCCCAGACTGGCCACTTTGGAGACACAGGGATAGGGGGACACACAGAGGCCTGGATGCTGCCATTTGGGGCTCATGGGGTCACCCCACAATGATGGGGGCTTTTTGTTGCCCCTGCTTTACCAGCTGTGCTGGTTTTCTGTGGATCACTGGGGCCCAGTGAGATGTGGGCCAGCATCCCCAGAGTGGCCCCTCCAAGTTGGTGGGCATGAAAGAGGGGACACAGGATGGCAGTCCCCGGGCCGTGCCTCACCTCCAGCTCCCATCCTGCAGGAGAAGGTGAAGCAGCAGCGACGGCGCATTGTGATGGAGTTCAAGAAGATGACTGTGCTCCTGGTGGAGGAGGAGCAGCACCTTCTGCAGGCCCTGAGGCAGGAGGAGGACCACACGGCTGCCAGGCTGCGGGAGAGTATGGCTGCACTCGAGCAGCAGAGGTGCTCTCTGGAGACCCTGCTGCTACGGCTGGAGGACTGTAGCAAACAGGAGCCACTGCAGATGCTGCAGGTGAGGCGCACCTGCTCACCTGGCTGGGTGGCGCAGACATAAGACCTGGCCCAGGTGTGGTTAACCTAACAGGGCAAATACAGACCAACAGGGAAGGCTCTGTCTCCATCAGCTCAGGCTGTATAACAAATACCTCAGGCTGGGAGCTTAAACATGCATTTATTTCTCCCAGTCCTGGAGGCTGGAAGTCCAGGATCCAGGTGTGGGCAGGACTGGTTCTCCTGAGGTGTCTCTCCTTGCTGTGTGGAAGGCCATCTCCTCCCTCTGTGCATGTCCTGATCTTCTAAGGACACCAAGTCACATCGGATTAGGGCCCACCCTAGTGACCTCATTTCACCTTCATCACCTTATCTCCAATATAGCCCCATATGAGACCCTGGGGATTAGGCTCCAACATGTGGGCTTGGGGGGCATGATCAGCCTGACAGGCTCCAGTCCTAGACAACTGTGTTCTGCATTCCCTTCTTAGTCTAGGGGATGGGGGTAGCCCGAGGCAGCTGTCATCCACTTGGTGACATGGGGCAGGGACACACTGGCTTGCGAATTAAAGGCAGGAGCAAGTCATGTGATCCCACTTGAGGGTTTGGAATGGGGGAGAAGGTGCAGCTGGCCTGCCAGGGACAGGCCTACATTCGAGGCCTGGGAAGTGGGAGTGATTATGATGGCTGACAAGTGGGTAACTGTCTCGCCACTTGTGTGGAATGATGGAACCTATTGCAAAAAACATATTTCATGCTGTGAGCCACCACACACACAACGTGTTTATACAACTGAAGCAAACGCCACATGCAAGGTCAGCACCAGTTGTCTTGGCATCCTGGGTTTTGTCCCTAATAAATGTCCTGGTTTAGTTAGACTATGCACTTGCCCCAACTTTGGGGAATACTCGGTCTTCTAGTAAAAAGCAGCCTGCTCACCACCCACTAAATACACCTGAGCTGCACAAGGCCTACAGTGCCAAAGCACCCTTGGGCCTCCCATGCCTTCCCCACCAGTTGAGAACAGGACAGCTTCCCTGACCTCACTCATGTGCAGGGGGGAGGGGCAGCAGGAGACCTGGGTGGCCAAGAGATAGGATTCTACTCTGGAAACTGGGAAGAGGGTTACGGGAAGCATTATGAATTCTCCTTGCTCTGCAGGCCAGAAATGTTCACACAGGGTGCTTGGGGATGCCCCATATTCCTAACAAGATATTGCAGATCTCCCTCTCTCCGTGTTTTTGCAGGATATGAAGGTGCCTCTGGACAGGTATATGACCACCTGAAATGCAGGCAGGGAGGGCTTCACATGGGGCCAGAGGGGACAGTAAATGTAACTGTTCCCTCTGGAGGAAGAACAGCTTGAGTGTGCAGTACCCAGAGGCCACCCCCATCACACTGAAGACTGTCTGCAGAGTCCCTGGGCAGATAGAGGTGCTCAAGAGTTTCCAAGGTAAGTGGGGCCAGTTCTCTTGACCAGAGCCACCCCTGGGAGCCGTGACATTCACTGGACATTCACACTCTACCCTTACTGGACACTCTCAGGAGATGCCCAAATGGCTCCCAGCTCATCTCCTTGGCACCAACAGCATCAACAGCTGGGGTACCGCCCATGCAGGCTCACAGCTGGACTCAGCCAAGGGGAGGCCTGGGGATGTGGGGGGTGGTCAAGGAGAATGGGGATGATTCAGCTCCGTCCTTGTTGCTGGGCCTGTCTGCAGAGAATGTGGTGCCAGACCCTGCCACAGCGTACCCCTACCTCCTCCTGTACGAGAGCCGCCAGAGGCGCTACCTCAGCACCCCACCAGATGGCACACCCTGCAGCAAGGACAGGTTCCTGGCCTACCCCTGTGCAGTGGGCTGCCAGACCTTCTCCTCAGGGCGGCACTACTGGGAGGTGGGCATGAACCTCACTGGGGACGCGCTGTGGGCCCTGGGCGTGTGCAGGGACAACGTGAGCCGGAAAGATAGGGTAGCCAAGTCCCCTGAAAATGGATTCTGGGTGGCGCAGCTGTACAAGGGAAACAAGTATGTGCCCCCCGTGTCCACCCTGATGCCCATCACACTGACGGAGCCCCCCAGCCATGTGGGCATCTTCCTGGACTTTGAGGCTGGGGAGGTGTCTTTCTACAATGCTAGCAGTGGGTGCCACCTGCACACCTATGCCCAGCCTGCCTTCCCAGGCCCCCTGAAGCCCTTCTTCTGCCTAGGGGCCCCCAAATCCGGCCAGATGGTTGTCTCAACTGTGACGCTGTGGGTGAAGGGATAGGTGTTTAGGCAAGGAGTGCCAGCACTCCACTTTCTCTAGAAAGTGAAGTGGCCCTGCTAATCTCCGGAGGAGCAGTGGAGCGCTATGACTGTCCCAGGAGGGCTCACCAAGCCAACATGTAATTGTGATTAAAGCAGTTAAACGTTGAGACTGTATTCACAGCTGCTTCATAGAGGGAGTCTGTACCAACCTCTAAATACATACTTACGGACCAGGCCATGGTGCTGTTTTCTTTAGCCATGCCCCCCTCCACCCGCCACTCACTGGGTCCTCCTGGGTTTGGGTAATTACAGGTAAACCTGTGGCCTGAGGGGGCCACTTTTCTTGTCATCAGCAATTCCATATTTAGGTCCTTCGCAGGGAAAACAAGAAAGTAGGACTCTTCAAGCTGAACCCCTAAAAACCTCTGAGCTGCCCACCCCCAACCCTTTCCATCCCTTAAGTTGAATCAGTGGGAAATGGGGGGTGAAATTCAAAGAGGACGGATCTTGAATGTGGGCGGGTCCTTTCACTCCTCGCCCCATCCTCGCAGTTTCAGCCCCGTAACAGTCACTAGCACCCCAGAATTCCAGTCAGTGCACTCCTACCCCAACAAGTACAGTGTCCCAACGCGCAGAGACCCTCCATTCATTCCGACCAAGCCAGGCCCGAGGCGCCCGCCGGCAGTTTGGGGCTACCCTAGTCCTCACAGCACGTGCCCTGCGTGGGGACCCCAGTGACCGTGCGGGGCGCCCCGCAGGCCTGGCCCCTGCACCCCATCCTTCCTCAGGCCTGAGGAACAAGCCAGGCCAAGCGACCCCCAAGACGAACCGGAGCCACGAGAACGCTCGTGCGGGCGTCCGCAGAGACGCGAAGTCAGCGGGAGAACAGCCTCCAATTCGGTCCCTCCCGCGGGCTGCGTGACAGGCCACAGCCAATCCGGGACGGAAGCGGGTGATTCCCATTCCCCGCCCCCACAGAAAGCAGCTGCTTCCTGCTTCCGCCGCGGGTCTCCCAGCGCATCCGGGAGCCGCGGTGTTGCGCGGGCCCTGTGCCTCGCGTTCCACGAGCCCCCGCGCCCCCAGGCTGCCGGAGCCCCTGGTCTCCACAAGCTCCCCACAGTCCCGGTGGCGGCAGGCCAGCGCCCGACCCGGCGGAGGGCGCCGTCTTCCGTCGCTTTACCTCGCCATGGCCGCCTCCGACTTGTCCGCCAACCTCCAGGAGGAGGCCACCTGCGCCATCTGCCTCGACTACTTCATGGACCCGGTGATGACCGACTGCGGCCACAACTTCTGCCGCGAGTGCATCCGGCGCTGTTGGGGCCAGCCCGAGGGCCCATACGCCTGCCCCGAGTGCCGCGAGCTGTCCCCTCAGCGGAATCTGCGGCCCAACCGCCCGCTCGCCAAGATGGCCGAGATGGCGCGGCGCCTGCACCCGCCGTCCCCTGTCCCCCAGGGCGTGTGCGCTGCGCACCGCGAGCCGCTGACCTCCTTCTGCGCCGACGAGCTTCGCTTGCTGTGCGCGGCCTGCGAGCGCTCGGGAGAGCACTGGACGCACCGTGTACTCCCGCTGCAGGACGCGGCTGAGGACCTCAAGGTGCGGGGCGGGGTCAGCGACGCGGCCTGGCCCAGCGGGTTGGGCGCAGCCTGGCTCGGGGCTGCAGGACACGGTCCCGCCTGGGATTTGGGGGGCGGGGCTCAGCATGTCTCAGACCCGCTCTTTCGCGAGGCTGGGGCACCACTCACCAGGGGGAGCCGGCGTGGGGACCGGGGGGGGAGGGGGCGTTCTCCTTGAGGCTTAGGTCCCTCTGTGACTGTGGGAGGGCCCACCGTCTGGAGCGGGTACTGGGCAAGTGTGACTGGACAGTGGCTGGGATGGAGCCCAGTGCAGGAAAAAGTGGGAAGAGAACCTCAGAGGTGGCTTTCCCTCGGGTGGGACGAATAACGGTTCATCTCTGGTGGGAGGGTGTGCTGTGGCCAGGGAGGGCTCTTGGTGGGGCCTCAACCGGTGTTTAAGTCCAAGTGGGAAGATACTCGGGGAGGCTGGCCGAGCCCTACGTTGGGAACGGTGGGAGACAGAGCCCTTGCCCTGGGAGGCAGACGCCAGGGCCCGGCAGGCTTTCTGAGTGGAGTGCTTGGGGCCACCACTGCCATTTGACACACCAGGGCTCAGCTGTGCTTGGATCTCAGGCTGAGAAGCCTTGTTTTGCTGTACATGGTGCACCCCAGCAGACACAGACACAGGCTGTGAAGCAAAATGCAAATCAGTCAAAAAGTCTGAAAGGTGCCATGCACACATCAATACCTGGGTTCCAGGAACAAACCCTGCTAAGGCAACAGGCCAGGTGTGTCAGGTGAGCTGTTTGCCCTGAGGCCCCCCAGCAAAGGGGGTAGTGCTGGTGTGAGTTTGGATTAAGGAAATGCATTTCCAGAACAGGATTTTCCTCTTACTTTGAGATATTACATGCACACAAGAATGTCTACTCATGTCTGGCAGGTTTGCACTCCTGAAAGCGCCTGTCTAGCTGACCTGATAAAATCTCAGAGGGTAGCACTTAACCCTATTGTAGGAGTGGAAAAACCTTTTACTCTGCCCTGTTAGGTTCTTTGACTGAAACTTGCAAATTAAACTGACAACAAACAGATTAACAGACAAAAAGACAGTTTTATTAGTCTTAAATTTCATATGGCACAATGACTTCGTAGAAAAGTGAAAAACTGAAATGAGTATCTAGACTCAAGAGCTCGTATTCCATTTTAACAGAGGATGTGTGGAGAAATGACTAGATAAAGGAAGGGGGGTTTGGGCTGCAAGGGCCAATAACTTGTGGAAAAGGAACTAGGAAATATGGGGGAACTACTGGAAAATCAGCATTATTTTAGTATGATCTGTTTAGCACACTCAGGGATGACACCTCATCTTTGGTGGAGAGTGTACTCCCTTTCTGGTACAGGGAGGCCACCCTTCTCATGGGAAATTAATGTCCTGCCTTTAGGCAGAAAGGAGGAGGGCAGAGGGCTCTTACTGCATCTGCTATTTCTCTCTCACACTGTACTGATGCCCACTTTGTCTTAATGCTGGAGTTGCTCCAGCGAGCCCGTGGTAGATAAGGTTGAAGTAAACAGTTGGGTGTTGCCTGAGGTCAGGCTCAAGGCAGCCGGATCCAAGTGTGAGCATCCCTTGGCTCCTTCCAGTGAAGCTGAACCTTGGGAAGCCCAGGATAGGCACAGAGCAAAGCGATTCTCAGGAAGAAGGCTGTGATGCGGTAAGAAGTCAGTCTGGAAAGGTGGTCAGAGATGAAGGAAGGCAGGAGAAAGGGGGAAAATGGGCAAGGGGCTGGGTCAGCCTAGGTGGTGGGAGGTCATGCCGGGTAGAAGTCATCTCCTGGCAGGTTCAGTTTGCTGCATCCATTGTGTACCATACGGTTTCCCACAACTGGCTCCCACCTGTCAAGTGTAGTCTCACCTGGGGCTGGGCCATGGGAGTGGGGTCAGGGCCAAGTGGGGTTACTGGCTGTCCTCACGTCCCTGCAGGGCAAGCTGGAGAAGTCCCTGGACCACCTGCAGAAGCAAATGGAGGATGCACTGCTGTTTCAGGCCCAGGCGGAGGAGACCTGTGCCCTGTGGCAGGCAGGTGGCTGGGCACCAAGGACCCAGGGTGGGGAGGTGGGGCACCAGTGCCCCCACTGCTGGATGTTGCTGTTCACACTAATGCTTCTCATAACGCAGCACTCCTGCTCCAGACCCTCAACCCCCCGGGGTGAGTTTGGGTGGGGGATGTATGGTGGGGAGCCCGGTGGTGGGTTTGGGGGTCTGGCTCACCGTACCCCCTACGCCCTCCACAGAAGATGGTGGAGAGCCAACGGCAGAATGTGCGGGCAGAATTTGAGCAGCTGCGCCGCCTGCTGGCAGAGGAAGAGCAACGGCTGCTGCAGAGGCTGGAGGAAGAGGAGCTGGAGGTGCTGCCGCCGCTGCAGGAGAGTGCAGTCCGCCTTAGGCAGCAAAGCGCCCAGCTGGCTGATCTTGTTGCCGAACTGGAGGGGCGCTGCCAGCTGCCAGCACTGGGGCTGCTGCAGGTGAGCGCGTGCCTGGAATGGGTACACAGGCTCTAATGAGATGGGGTACAGGCCGGAGAGCAGAAAGGAGGAAGCTCTGGGCTGAGCAAGCTGTCTGACCTCGGCCTATTCTGGATCTCCTGTGTTCTACTGTGAAATACTGGAGTAAGGGCTGGGACTGGTGTCCCAGGTATCACTGTGGTTCCATATGGATATGCCATGACCTGGGGAATGGATACAAATCCTGAACCCCACTGAGAACTGCTGTTGGCACCAGCCTGGGAGCCCCATAGGGAATGGAAGAAGCAGATCTTTGAGTGATTTACGAGCCCAGGATACCAGCTACACCAAAGTCTAGGGCCCCCTCCAGGCATTCCCCCTGGCCATTCCTCTGTATCTGAGTCCTCACTGCCCAGAGTCAACTCCCTTCAAGGTCCAGCCCCCCCTGGGCTGCTCCCTCCCTTTTCTGAGTAGTGAGGGCAGCCCCAGACCTTGTGACAACCAAGACTACCCCCCATTTCTCAGTACTCAGTAAAACAAATAAGGATGGTTGTTTCCAACTGCTTTGCAGGCAGCCCAACCCAGGCCCTTTGTATGTGCCTCTCCCAGGTCTGCACTGTCTCCATGTCTCCTGATGAATCCTAAGGTTTCAGAAACCTACTAGTCTCCCTTTTCTTTTGAGACCTAGTAGGTTCCATACACCCCCAGACAGAATCAGCTGTTGTGTGTGAAATCTCCCGCCCCAAGGGAAACCCACCTTGGGCACAATGTCGTATTCGCCCTCTTCGTCCTGGTGTCTGGCCTGGTAGCTGGTGCACAGTGTAGTTAGAATGATCACTTGTGGAGTTCATTTGATTGACAAAGTGGGCTGGGTTCCTGGGTACCAGGCAGTATTCTAAAAAGACAAACAAGCTGTTTGCTGTTAGGAGCTAGGGTTTCAAATAACAGATTGTCTCTGTTAGCTCAGGCTGTGTAACAAATGCCATAGACAGGTGGCTTAAGCAACAGACATTTATTTCTCCCAGTCCTGGAGTCGAGTCTGAGATCCAAGTGTGGGCAGGGCTGGTTCTCCTGAGGTATGTAGACCACCATCTCCTCCCAGTATCCAAGTATGGTTATGCCTCAGTGTGCACCTGTGTCCTAATCTCCTCTTCCTTATAAGGATACCAGTCATATGAGATTAGGGCCCACCCTGGTGACCTCATTTTAACCTAATCACCTCTTTAGGAAGCCTAGTCTCCAAATACAGCCCCATTCTGAGGTCTTGGGCATTAGGGCTCCAATGTGGACTTGGGGCTACAGTCATCCCGTGACACTGAGTAAAATGCTCTTGTGTATCATTTTGGGAGAAAGGAGCATGTAAGTAAAGAGGCCTTACCTGGAAGTTGGGCTCTGAGTCAGGACTTGAGGGAGGGCAGCTAGTGGAGACCAGGTGAGGTGCCTGTGGGTGGGGTGGGCAGGGGATGGGAGCAGGTGAGGCTGCAAGGGCAGTTTCTGACCATGTGCAAGAACACTGCAATATGGACAGAGGTAGGGGGCAGGACCATGTGATGGGCACTGACACCACATGTCTCTCCCACAGGATATCATGGACACCCTGCGCAGGTAGGAGCCCAGCCTTTCCCTAGAGAAGGCGGTCGGGTGTGGGTAGGCCTGCCCTGGGGGTGACACCTGGCTGCCTCTGCAGGGTCCAGGAAGTGAAGCTGCAGCCGCCTGAGGTGGTGCCCATGGAGATGAGGACAGTGTGCAGGGTCCCTGGGCTGGTGGAGGCTTTGCAGAGATTCCGAGGTGGGTACTGTGGTGTGCAGAGGGGGGAACCCAGCTGGCCAGCTCTGGTCCAGAGGAAGTGCCCATCCTGAACTGCTGGTGGCCGAGGCTGGTGGTAGGAAGGTGACAAAGGCTCCTTGTTCATGGTTGAGAAGCTGAGCAAGGGCCAGCCAGGCTGGGCTGTCTCTGGTGTGTTTAGGAAAAGCAGAGGTTGGTCCATAAGGTGCCAGGACACTTGTGTAGGCCCGGGGCCTGGGGAGCCCAGTGTAAAAGCTGGACTGGAACACTGGGGATTGGAAGAGTAGATATAGAAAGCACTCAGGTTCCTCCTGAATTTCAAGAGAATAAGTCACAAGGCAGTGTTGGACCACTTCCCAGAACATTCCTGAGTTGCACCTGCAAGTGGTTAGTTGACTTTTCAAGGAAGACACAAAAGGGGGAGCAGTCACTCCAGCCAGCTACAAGGATGTTACCCCCCTGCGAGATCCGCCCCGGCGCGTGGGCATCTTTCTGGACTATGAGGATGTTACAAACATCCTTGTAGCAGGCTGGCAGAAGGGGCCTGAGGTGACCACTGCTCTGCCTGCAGGGGATATAACGCTGGATCCTGACACTGCTAACCCTGAACTGGTCCTGTCAGAAGACATGCAGAGTGTGCGGCGTGGGGACCTGCGGCAGCCCCTGCCTGACAGCCCGGAGCGCTTTGACCCTGGGCCCTGTGTGCTGGGCCGGGAGCCCCTGAACTCCGGCCGGCACTACTGGGAGGTGGAGGTGGGCGAGCGGGCCAGCTGGGCCTTGGGCGTCTGCAGGGAGAATGCTAACCGCAAGGAGAAGGGAGAGCTCTTTGCCGGCAACGGGTTCTGGATCCTGGTGTTCCTGGGGGGCTTCTACAACTCCTCTGAGCGGGCCTTCACACCCCTGCGAGATCCGCCCCGGCGCGTGGGCATCTTTCTGGACTATGAGGCTGGGCACTTGGCATTCTACAGTGCCACCGATGGGTCACTCCTGTATGCCTTCCCTGAGACGCCCTTCTCGGGGACACTACGGGCCCTCTTCTCACCTCTGTCTAGCAGTCCCACCCCCATGACCATCTGCCGACCCAAGGGCAGGCCTGGGGACGGGCTGGCTACCCAGTAAGTGGGCTTCTTACACGCTTGTCCTGCCATTGGGTCTTCGAGGGTGTTCTGAGCCACGGAAAGAGCTCCCAGTGCTGCTTCATGTGTGTAGTAAAATCCCTCTCCCTCTGCTATTCCCAGTAAACCAGCACCTGCAGGGCCAGCAGCATCTCCCAGGTGACCCTCCATGGCCATCCGATGTCACCAGTGCATTGCTCACAGCCGTCTGCAGAGCCCTAGCCAGGGGCCCTGAGATCTGTTTGCAGGAGCCCAGCTGGTTGGGTGAGGCACCAGGATCTGTGGAACTTTTGGGGGCTTCAACCGAGCCCTCTATAGCCCCAGGGCTGCATCCCCAAAGAGCTGCTGTCCTGTGAGGCTGCTGGCAGGGAGGTGAGCCTGTCAGCCTGTCTCAGGGTCTGGTCCTAGAAAATGGTGCTGGATGTGGTTGCCTCCTTAATTAGGGTACAGCATTCCTCAGGAGAGGAGGAGGGCATGGGAAAGGCCAGAGAAAGAGTCTTCAGAGTAAAAGGTACTGCATAAGGGAGCTGAGGAACCTGGACACAAGCCCTCAAGTCCCTCAGTGTGGACCACTGTGGGCTTCTGCCGAATTCTGCTTCCCACCCCAGAGCTGAGCAGCAGCTCAGGAAAGACACTGGCCCTGCCTGGGGAAAGGGTGAGGCTGCACAGACCTCCCTCCCCTGTCCCCAATCCAAGATTTGTAGTGGCTCATTTCGGTGCTTCACAAGAAGGGCATGGTACAGCATTTCTGCACTCCAAGATTTCATCTGTCATAAGGACCACCCTCACAGTAAAAAAAATAACCATTGTCTATGATGCCACTGTCTTGAATTGAGGGTTCAGAAAGTCCATGGGCCGAGGCCTGCCACCCACAGCAAAATTGGGGAGCTGCCTGTTCTTTGATTTCATGCAGCTGCCATGGAATTCTTTTTCAAATCTGATCAGCGATTCTAGGTTCCATGGTGCTCAATAGCTAATTACTTGGTTATTTATTTACCCACTCTCCAATTGTTGGACTTTTTATATATGTACCACTTTGAGTATCTTCAATTCTTTCAAATTATGTACATGAGAGGCTTTTCTCAGTTAAGCCAGGAGCCTGCCACTTTGCTGCCTGGGGAAGTTTTCCCATCCTTTCCCAGTTGATTGCTTACTGTTTCACTTCCTGTTGAGAACCTGAGGATACTGGTTGGTTCCTGCCTGGAGCAAGATTTGGACTTTAAAGTTTGGGACTTCGCAGATGGCGACCAGAACTCAGGAGGTGGGACAGCCTCTAGGTGAGAGTTTGGAGGAGCACACAACTGCCCCAAGAACAGCAGGATGGACACCTAGGCTGTGGCTTGAGCAAAGCTGGACACCAGTGTGAGGGAGGGAAAGTATTCCTTCCTTCCATCCATCTGATCCCTGTCTGGACCCTATAATAAAATATTAATGAGAAAAACGGTTATTAGCATCTACACCTTGCGCACATGGGAGACACCCAGTGAAAAAGTAACTTCAGTAGCAGCTTAGAACTCTGGCTTCTCCAGCCACTGCAGTAAGGAACAAGTTTGTGGGAGATGTTCTGTAGATTCCCAGAGCCAACCCCATGCTGAGGGATCTCACTGTCTCCTATGACTGACTCAGTCCTTCCTAGGGAGAGGGGGACCACATTTTAGGCAGGGGGGAGGTCTTGCAGCTTCTCTACTGTCTGCTGGTTATGGATTGCCTCTAGCCCAAATGGTCCTGTTGCCAAACCGGGATGTTTGGGATGGACGGTTCAGCCATCCATCACCAGGTGACAGAAGAAATGAGCTTAGTTGACCATCCACATACATGCTGAATGTACTTTCCACGTTTTACCTGCCGAGCCAGTCAACCATGTGGTAACACCTCACTTTTCTGGGCACCATGGGCCACAGTAAACAGAAAAGATCCTGCCCATGGAGCTGATACCTCAGAGTGGCGAAAAGCTACAAGGATGTGTCCCAACAAGCAGTGAGTGGCTCCAACACTAGCAACAGGTACCTCCTGCACCACCAGTGGTATCTCCCACATTACCACTGGGTGTCCCCTGCACTGGCAGTGGATGTCTCCAGTACTATCACTGGGTGTCTTCCACGCTACCAGTGGGTGTCCTCTACACTAATGTTACTTGGCGGGTCTGCCTAGGGCTAGCTGGTAGTGTGTGGGTTCTTGACTTCCTGCAGGAAAAATTGCACAACATGAGTCCAGGTGAATTTTTAGAGGACATTAAAGCTGGGGACTGAAATAAGGGCAGGCTGAGGAAATGAACCTAGGCCAGGCTGCTTTGGCTCACTGAGAAGTCAAAGAAAAGGGAGTCCTGGGGGACAGGTTCAGGGGGATTGTCTGAGATGAGCTGCTGCTGCCCATTGCTGCCCTGGTTGCAAGCCTAGTGGGGTCCCTTAGCGCTTAGGAGATGCATGCTGGTGGGGGAAGAATGGGTGGGGGAAAGGCGTGGGTGTGCTCCTGGGAATGAGAGCTCTCGCTGGGTCCTTTGTCTTGAGGCTTTTATCTTTCTCTTACAGGTGAGAATCTTAGGGGAGGTCTCAGGAAGGGTTTCAGCAGTTTTCTAGGTGTGCTCCTGTTTTCCACTGATTGGTCACTGTCAGGGCAGTGGATTGTTAGTCATTGCAGCTGGTCCTGGTGTTGCCCACCAGGTTTTGCTGCTTTTCTGGAGCTGGAGAGGAGAGTCATGGGAGGAATGAGTGATGATGTGGCATAGCCCATGCTATACGATGTTACCAGGGCGAGTCCTAAGGAAGTCACTAACCGGTTCACAAGAAGCACTTGTAAGGGTACTGAGGCAGAACGAACAAGGAAAGTTGGACTTCCAGGGAAGCAAGGCCAACCCAGCATAGACTCAGGAAAGCTGAGCTCCTGGAGGATCTGGAAGACCCATTGCCTCTGTACAGCCCCAGCAAGTGTCAGAGCTCTGCTCAACCTGCAGAATTCGATCTCTACAGGATTGGACAAGAGCAAGTCATCCCAGCACACAGTACAGAGGAAGTCATCAAAGAAATGCATCCCCCAAAGACAAGGAGGTAAGTCTCACCTGGTTCCAGCATACAGAGCCAAGCTTGCTGTGGATATGGCGAGCTGCGGATATAAGCATGTGATGGAGAGGAAGGAGTAGGCCCAGATGCAGGTGCCACAGGGCACCATGAGGGCTGAGCCTGGAGGGGTGCTCACTGTGCATCTGAACAGGAGTGGCCAGGGTACAGGAAGGTGCCCCGTGGTAGGGCTCCGCAGCAGAGAGCTCAGACATAGTCCCTGGGCGTGGTGGACTGCCTCTGAAGGAAGCACCGGTGTTTGCGGGAGAACATTCCTAACAGCACATAGAGTTGGAGCTGGTGGAGATCAAACAAGTTAGCACATGCTCGTGCAACCTCAGGACCACACACTCTTCCCAAACAGAATTCCCCTTGTGGGCAGCTGGAACCT